GCCATCTTGTAATGGCGAATGTGAGTGCGGCTCCTCACAACTGATAACTCAGGCCCTTCAAGGTTGAACCTCTCCTCCACTGCTCAGGACCCAGTCACTTCTCTGGTTTTTGTCCTCAAAAGACCTGGTAGCTACTTGCTATTCCTAACAGCAGCAGCCTACTTTTCCTCCTGCTCTGAAATCGGATTGTTAGCCTCTACAAATTCCCTCTCCAACCTGCTCTCATCCCTCAGTTGTTCCTGTCAGGACATTCCTTAGCCACCTCTACTCCTCTGCTCCCAGATTTCAGGCTCCATTCAAGAGGCCTGAAGGGGAGGAGTCAATGCACCTGCATTGAGAAGAAGTGCATTGGGGAAGCTCAGCTTGTGTGAGGTAGTTTTAATGTAACTGGCCCCCATAAGCTCATAGGGAGTTTCAGTATTGGGAGATATGTTTTTTTATTGGAGTAGGTGTGACCTTGTTAGAGGATGTTTGTCATTGTCTGGATGGACATACTGTTTTTTTTAATCCTTATTTATTTATTTATTTTTTAAATTCGTTAATTACTACTCATATTTACATATCCATTCCCCCCATTCTCTCGCCCTCCCATCCTCCCATGTTCCCCACCCAACCCTCAAGCCCCCCTACTCCTCCTCAGGGATAGTGAGGCCCTCAACTAAGGACCTTCAAAGTCTGTCATATTGTTTGGGGGAGGGTCTAGACACTCCTTGTTGTATCTGGGCTGCAATGGTTTCCCAACATAGGGAGTGGGCTCCCAAAAATCCATTTGTGCTCTAGGGATAAAGACTGGCTCCGCTGTTAGAGGTCCCAGACTAGGGTCTCCATTCTATCAGTAGGTTAGATCCACTGTTTCTGCAGGTCTCTCCAGCCCCGTTTTGGCTCCTTTGCTCATCCCTACTCCTCTCCACAACTGAATTCCAGTAGTATGGTTCAGTGCTTAGCTGTGGGTGTCTGTTTCTGCTTGGAACATCAACTGGATGAAGGCTTTCCTTCCTCTCCCTGCCCCCAGGCTCCAATTTGGTCAGGGATTCTTGTCCCCATCCCCTTCTTTGAGGGAC